GATAATTAAAATTCAAAATCTTTAAAAAGAACTGCATTCAACTCCTATAGCTTCTTATTTTAGAGATTACATATACATTTAATAAAATATTTTTTTTCTCTTTTAAACATTTAGTACATATGATATAGCAAGGTGTAAGATTCGAGACGAGAAGAAGGGAAATGAGATCATAAATTCGAGCACTATACTTTGATTAATCCTTGTTTGGATTGCTACGTGATGGATACATATGCATTGTATGATAAAAAGAACAAAGGAAAATGATGTAGAAATAAGCCAAATGGGTTGGGAATGGGACCAAAATTGTGGTAATCCTCCTTGGAAGGACGTCGTGACTTTTGTGCAATCGTACAAAATTCTTTATTGACTGACACGGTCTTGTTTTCTTGTCAGGAGGTCTACGTATGATTGTTATAGTATTGTTGTTTGGCACAATCATGACATTTATAGAAGTCGGCCCTTGTGTTAGAAAGATGTTTTTGTGTGTAAAGTCGTGGATCTAGAAACTTTTTATTATTGGTGGCACATCTGAGTGTGTTACAAAAAGTTCTGAAACTGAAAAACTCATTCGAACAAATACGATTTCGGGTTATTCGGTTTTTGGCTTAAATGATTTAGTTTAATCAAATAATTAGAAATTGTTCGGTTCGGTTTTTGATTATTTTTTACTATTTCGGATAAACCGAGACATTATACTACCATGTATGTTACTATTTCGGTTTAATTAAAATCAAATGAACATATTACACATTAATAGTTAGTAGCAAGAAATTAGAGTGCAAGATGTCAATAACTTAGATTCAGTTAGAAAGAAATCAGATAGCAAAAGACCATGAAATCAGAAATAAAAGATAAACTAGTAACAAACCTTAAATCAAATTAAGAAACCCAAATTATAACCAAATTCAAGAACCCTAAATCAATAATAATAAAGAAATTGAAAACCAATAATTAACAAATGAAAATAATTATAAGTTTGTAAAACTATAAAATGCAAGAAGGAAGTTGGAAAAAATCAAAAATAGTGATTAATTAAATCATTAGCTTTATAGCAAAAAAAAATGATTTTCAATGGGTTGAGAGTTAGGAATTAAACGCATTAGAGTTTGACCGATCCCTAAAATAATGACTCCTTAAGATAAGAGTTGTAAATGGGATGGTAGGATTTAGATTTGAGGCCTTACCTTTTAATTGTTGGGGGCCTATTTATAATTTTAGGTTAAAAGAAGATTAATACCTACAATTAATGCTTTAGTTGGGTGTTTCTTGAGGGCCTGTGCCCCCATGCCTTTGTTCTGTATCCGCCAATGTACGTGTAGGAAGGTTCATTGGTTCAAGAATGAGGTGGGTTTCATGTAACTCTCTAAACTTGGATATAAGGATCAAGGTGTGAAGTGAGGGTCAGCTAGTCTTTCTAATTGTGAGTTCAAAAGGCAAAAATCTTGGAACTTTCACCTTGAACGACAGCTCACTAGTTGTGTCAACCCCAAGCCAGGGATCATAGTCAAGATCAAGCAGGACTGATTCACCTGATCGACATCAAGAGTTCGCTCTCCAAACAATTCCACTCCGCTATTACCTGACTATACGATACTATGCTATGATAGAAGAAGGATGCAATCACTTTCTTCTTTATACTGATTTCTATTAGGGGCTTATGTTCTAAGGATCTGGATTCTACTAGGGATATGTGCTCTAAGTACCTGTACTAGGTTAGGGCTCCGTCTAGATTAGGTTTAGAAGAGTTGAAAGATCTACATAATAGACATTCTCTCTCTTCTTAATTATCTAAATTCTTGGGATCACTTGACAAGCTAGTCTATGGTGGCTATATATCTCTAAGAAGGAAATGTCCTCCTTGAACCTGCAAAAATAAAGAGCTTTAGTTAAGAAAATGTTCAAATGCTCTGCCATATTGGTATGAGCGGCGTTAAACGAGTCAATACTTCCATGAGCATGACTAAAAATCCTTAGGTTTCTTCATCCTGGCAACGAGGTGCTCTACCAATTGAGCTAAAGCCCTTAGTGCTTGTAATACACATTTTATTGTGTAGATAATTTCTTGTCAAGATGAATATTCTCAAGATGACTATTCCCTTATCCAAGATTATATTGATCAGTATTGCTTCTAAGTAATATCATATTTATAATCCATCGATGGGATGAGCTTCTCTGTTTCTATTATAGTAGTCTTATGTGATCTAGTATGTCAGTTTGTTGCTTAAATCGTAATAGTTTGGAGGTTTTTGTCCTATGAATATTCACCTGTTATCCATCGACTATGTCTTTTAGGCTGATCTCAGGCCCTGACTCACTATCTGTGGATGAACCTTGCGGTAAATTGGTGTAGATACACAACCCAAGCCATTATTCTTTTCTATTTGTTACTGTTACCAAATCAAATGATTGGACCAACATATTCTTTAAAAGATAAAAGAAAGGGGTGTTCTTAGGGATCATTAAATCCTAAAGAATGATTGTTCTAGTATATCATGGAAATTCTTTGAAAGAAGAACCGACTTTCTTTGTGTTTGAAGTAATAAGACTATCTCAATTATGACATTAATGGAGAAAGAATCTTAATAAATGTAAAGAAGAAGCATATTTTATCCAATCACGAAGAGTCCAATAGCAATGATAAACAAAATAGTGTTCTATGGTTACTTCTTAAATGGTGAGGGTCTTCTTTATATACCGAAGCCTTTACTTCATTTAATCAATGTTACTGCTAACTCCCTATAGGTAGTAGGGGGTTCAGTTATTGATGTGAGATGAGTCTAGAGTTCTAAAACAAATAAGACGTATAAGACAAAAAATATTCGTATATATATTTTACAGTGTCTATACTTCACGGAAATGTGAAATCAAAGTATGCAATAAACTAGCTGGAAGACATGGAAATAAGGGTATCATTTCAAAAAAATTGTCTAGACAAGAACATACAAGTACACGTCGAGCCAATGTGAAGGGTTTGATTAAGATATGTCAAATTCCACCAAGTATACAAATGGAACATAACCACACATGGCTGGCTATAGAAGTTAGCAATAACGTTGATTAAATGAAGCAAGACGCTGGTGTATTGAGAAGAACCCGCATTTAATTAAGAAGTAACCATAGAAACTATTAAAATCCACTACTTCTTCCCCTCGCGTTCTGCTATAGCAAGAGCCCCTGAATCTAGAGTTGCTTGGCCTTCCAATCCAATTCTAACAATGCCCCTCTCGGACTGAGAAAGAGGGAGCAAATTGTTGATACAACTCCAAAATAGCATTTTCTTTTGACCCGAACTTTTATCATTTAGAAAGAATTTGTGGGTATGCACATGTCCAACAATGAGAAAGTTGTCCTAAATATGTAACGTTTAATTAAAACCTAATAGGACAATTTTCTTTTCATAATCTTATGTGTTTAGATCGCTCGTGTTTCCAACTCTTTTTCACAATTATATTCAGGACACTTATTTAATTAAAAACCATATATACCTAAGGGTTTTCTTAACTTTGAACTCATGATTTTTTTTTACATTTTTTCTGGGCACTCCCTGGATAATTTTTTTGGCTCCATACCTATCAGTAGCAACACCATACGTTAAAATTTGTCCATTTTTAATGTATTTACCCTGCCGAACCTAAGGCTTTGATGCATACAAATATTTTTGTTGGAACGTTGATGCATAACTAATGAAATGCTTAGAGCACAATCGCAAAATTAGTTCTATACATATGTCCAACAATTAGAAAAATAAATGCAATAGCTAGATGATACTATACCCATATTATTATATATTCCGGAAGGTTATAATAAAATGGTTTGTGTTAACGTGTTTTAAGACTTTCTAGCATGCATATATGTTCAAAATAAACGTTATGCATGAAGATATCATGGAATATGCTTGTGGGTATGCATACCCGAATGAGGAAATAACATGAGGGGAATTATGATGATAATACAAGGATCAACCGTTTTGTGCCAAGTGATCGGATAAGCATTTGTACATATCGAATGTTATTATATGGTTGGATTCATGTGAGACCAGACTGCTTTCGTGTGAAACCACTTTTTTACACTTGAAATTTCACAACAGAACATTATGAATTAATAACAAAAATACTATGAAAGTTACCTTCACAATGTTTTATTATTAAGTTTCAAATGTCAAAAAGTGGTCTCATATAATCACAAGTCAGTTACAAATGTGGAACTCATTGTCTTGGGTTTATTTTCTACATATTACATTTAAACTCTTAATGCCTATAAAAAGTATGACATGACATGAAGTATAGACACAATTAGGGGTGCTTAAAAACCTGACAAACCCGATCAACCCAACGCGAAATAACCCAACCCAAAGCAACCCGATGTCTAATCGAGTTGTAAAATTGTCAAACCATATGTATTGGGTTGATATTGTGTTATTATTATTTGAACCCAACCCAACCCGATAAATTAAACCCGATATCCTTTTATTTCTTGGATTTAATATGATTGTTGAATTTCTATTAATATATACATTAGACAATTACACTATTATGTATGCTTATCATATACACATATTTTTAATCTATTCATATCTGTATATAACTCATTCATATATGTGTTTAGTAACTGTGAATATATATATATATATGTAAATTGAGAAAAATAACTGAAATGTGATATACGTAAGAAATATGGATAAGTTGTATCAAATGGTTGATGATGAAAGAGAAATTATGAGTAAAGAAATAATATATTCAAGTTTAGAAGAATATTTTAATATATCAAAGTATCAACCCAACCAACCTGACTAACTCAACCAACCTGTACAAATTGGATTGAGTTGCACTTTAGTTTGGGTTGGGTTGGGTTAAGATTTTCTCAAACCGCAAGCATTAGATTGGGTTGTTCAAATATTTTCAACCTGATCAACCAAACCCATGAACACCCCTAGACACAATTGGTATCAACAAAAATTCAAATAACTTTTCGTGAATACTCAAGACATATAACATTACGATGAAGTTAGAACAAGAGTAAGTATCGTTTATGATCGAAGCAAATGTCGAAACAACAAATTACAAGGACTAAAACCGTTTTAAATCCTCTATTTAAGAATTTATTATTACATTTTTCTCCATCTAATGAACAAATTATTAAATTTTGAAATTATAAAAAAACAGATTCATGGTTGAAATGGTTAAATTTCGGATATTATTTACTTGCAAATCTGGTTCTTGAATCCAAGTCTTCCCTTTTCCAAATCGTACTCCAGGTATATATTCTGCTGTTGGTAGTTTCCTAGGATTATTGATGGCCCGATTCTTGTATCCGACCCGATTGATTCGCTTGAAACAATCGTCATACACACCACGTCGGACTCCCCCATGAACGAAAAGTAATCTGCCAGCGGCAGTGATAATTTAGCACCGCCTTTGAAATGAAACATTAACGCCGGAATCTTCACTGGTTTATCGCCGATGTCAAAACAAGGCCGTAACCCGCTTTTACTCTCCATCTCGCCAGACCTCTTGTACTTTGACATTTGATTTTCAAACTCTTTTGCTACCAGATCGTAGACGTGATTGTCCATAAACGTAAAGGTGGTGCCGGAATCAATGATGGTTCCGCCGTTGCCGTCAGATCCCGGTACCAGAAAACCATAAGGTATCTTTACGGTTTTCCCGCCGACGGTGATTTTCCGGAGGTTTACATAGTAGTAATCCTGAAAAGATGACCGGGAAGACACCGGGTTCTTATGGAACTTGGTGTAGCTGATTCCGGCATCACTGCCGCCGGAATTTGAAGAATCCCGAACGAGAACAAGTTCGCTGCTGACCGGAGCGTCGTCAAAGCGGTGAGAAACGAGACAATACGAGAATCTTTTCAGACCCATTTGAACGGGTAAAGAAGCAGGTCCACGCCCAAACCCGGCGATACCCGATGGTTGTCGGGTTGATAAAATGGAGCATCCGACAGCGAAATCAGTCACATCACCTTCAGGGAAATCCAGCGTCTCAGACAGCATTAACCCAGCTGTCGACCCGGACCCGTACTGAAGCATATAAGCTGGACAAATCTCTTTACCATTACACTGAATTGGATTGGATGACCCGAAAACCCACCCGCATTTCTTGTTGGAACACCCGATAATCTTAGACGAAGACGAGAGTTTGGGGATGAATCTGGAGATGTTGTTCGGATTAACATTGGAGAATTGACAGTCAGAACATTGATACCGATGAGTACATGGAAACCAAACAAGACTGCTTCCGGTATCCATAACGAAGGAGAGTTTCTGAGGGGGTGAACCGAAACTGAGAGAAACAGAGTATCCGCCATAGCTTTGAGGAAATAGAGGAATTTGAGAAGAGTTGTCTTTAGGGTGTTTGAGATGGTGGGCTCTGGCTAGAGAAGAAGAAGCAAGGTAATTCAAGGTCTGCAGCCATGGATGGTGGTGGTTGGATTGTGGAGAAGGTGCAATGGAGATGGGTGTGGGAGAAAGTGTGAGGGTGGTTTGAGAAGAAGATGAATGGGAAGATAGAAGAGAGAGAATGAAGAGGAGATAGAGAGAAGAAGACGCCATGAATAAATTAATGATTAGAAGGGGGAAAAGATGAGAAATTTATGATGATCAGAATTCAGAGATTTATGTCGTTTAATTGAAAATGGAAGAAGGGAAAAGGGGGATCGAGTGAGCTTTACAGGAATAGGAGTGGTTCGATTGTTGTTCGTTATTAATAGCAATCTCCAGCTCATTGTTTGAAGTCTTGCTAGTGATGATGTACAAGTCTTAATGCATAATGTACTTGTACGCTTTTTCTATAAAGCGATAAGAGCTTCGCTTTTTCTATAAACAACCAAAGAAACTTGACACAATAATCTTGTATTTATTTTTATTTTTTAAGGTCCCCCTCCTCTTCGTGTATAGAAAGTCATCAAATTTATTAAAATCAACCGATTTAAATTACAACTGGATATTTGGTTTTGATTGTAATTCGATCGAATTAAATCAAATTTTAAATCCAACATCCAAATTGAATTGGTCTATTCTTGAATTCACAATCTATCATCCAATGCATTGAAATGATCGAATTCAATGACTATCCAACTGCTATACATTTAATATATATATATATATAGATATATATATATATATATATGTAGATTGTGTAGAGAGAGAGAGGGGAATGTCCAAACAAGAATGCTAACTGTTTAATAAAAATAAGAAAAAGAAGAAAAAGATCGTTAATGTACAAAATCGCATGTGATTTTACATTAACATAAAGAAAATGGAAGCATATGACTTCTACAGTGAAGGTAGAAAAAAAATTCAAATATTCATATCAAAAACACTGTGAAGGTTACTTTCATAATATTTTAATATGAAGTTTCAAGTGTAAAAAAGTGGTATCACGGGTCTCAAGAAAACATGGTGGCTTCACATGATCCCAATTGAGAAGTGAAAGGTTCATTTGAGAAGTAAAGAAGTGATCATTAACCCTTCATCTAAGCATTTGTTGTTTTTACTGTCAAGTACCGAATAATTCCTCGCATATATATTTGGAAGATAGAGGGATAGTTCGGGACTTTTACAAACAGGCGACAAACGAGTTCATATGAATATATAGTTCAAATATGAATTTGCATGTTCATATATGAATTGTGTGGGTTCACATATGAACATTTAGTTCATAGATGAATCGCACGGGTTTACATATGAACCCATTTTTCATCTATTTGTAAAAGTTACGAAATTACCCGCTCTATTTTTTGTATAGCCGCAAATTTTGATCAGTTAAAACCACAATTTTTAGTCAAATCCGGTCTTGACCATATGAATGGCTAGAATCACTTATTTACTTATAAAATATTTACCACTTCTCAAAATAATCTAGGACTATATATATATATATACATATATATATATATATATAGAGAGAGAGAGAGAGAGAGAGATGTGATTTCATTTACAAACCCAAACATTTAATACAAACCAATCTGAATCGTTTATCTACTCTAATTAACATATGATTCAATTAATATCTCGATTGTTTCGTAATATAAACATCGATCATGATAAATGAACTCTTATTATTTTTATAAATATCTCAATTAATTGGTTTGTATATGTTTGTAAGCAAAACAACCTCTCTCTCTCTCTCTCTCTCTCTCTATATATATATATATATATATATATATATATATATATGGGTAATCATTTGCAAATTATTTGAAGGTTACAAACTTTACAAACCCGTGTTAAGCATCATTTTTTATCAACGGTTGAAGAATTTTTGAATTTAAATTAATTAAAGAATTAAGAAAAGGATAGTTTTGGAAGAGATTTTGAATATTTTAAATTTTAATTTTAATAAATAATTAAAATTATCTATTTTTGGTTATTATCTCGGCACGATTATCTCCCTCCCTCCCTCTTTCTTCTTCTTCATATCACTTGTTGAGTTAAATAGAGATTAGCCCAAATTGCTTTTCTTAGTAATTTTGTCTTCTTCTGACTTTTGTTGTTATTCATCGGTTATTTATTTATTTTATGAAATGAAGAAACTTCCTTGAAGATTAGTGGGTTTTTCTTGGCACTTGCTGCAACATCTTCATCACTCATCCTTTTGCATTCATTTCAATCCTTTTCTTATCTGATTTTGTGTTTGATCTTCAAAAATCAGATTGGTTCTTGATTATAAAAGGAAAGGAGGAAAAGAAAGTTGAAGCTTCAAAGCAGTAATTCCTTAATGGGTTCTATTTTAAAACCAGAACACAGACGAAACCTCAAACCTCCAAGAATCAAATGCATAGAATTCACCAACAAATCAAATGTTTACATCAAAACCCACCAATCCATAGTCCAAATCTTCACATTTCTAGCATACACAAGCCATTTGGGACAATCTCTTATATACGAAATGTTATTATGAATTGCTTAAAAGAAATTAATAAATTGTTTTATAAGGGATTGGCCTGTTTTTTCACGTATGAATTGTTTAAAGAAAATATTGTTTCATAAGTGAAACAACACTGGTATGAAGCGAATGTAACAAAATATTTTATTGTTTCATATGTGAAAACAAAATAATTGGTTTGATTTCATGTGGGAAACAAAAATAATTGTTTTGGTTTCATATAAGAAACAAAACAGTTACAATTAAGACGGTTGGAGAAAGGGTGATGAAATCAGTTATGACAACTGAGATATTTAAAGGAAGAGATTATTCCTAAATTAAATATGTTATTTTATGAGATATTTAAGAATTTAATTTTACTAAAAAACGAATTTGATAAAAATACCCAAATACCCTTGCTCGGAAAGTTTGTAACTTTCGGATGGTTTGCAAAAGAATGTCTCTCTCTCTCTCTATGCATATATATATATATATATGTATATATATATATATATAGAGAGAGAGAGAGAGAGAGGGGCACATTCTTATGTGTGTGTGTATATATATATATATATATGATATCGTTTTTATTTGATATTTATATGTGGTGTATTAAAATAAATAGGACTATATGTGTGTGTGTGACTAATTGGTCAAAAGTTGTTTCAAAATATTGGATGGATCTAATCTAATTCAATAAATAACTGACAATAATATTCAATTGATGGAATTGATTTGATCTAATCATCCACTAGATAGGTCATCCAACGTTAATTGAATTGGATCAGATGACGAAATTCCAACATCTAATGGATGATTGGATCGTAGGGGTGTTCATCAGTTGAAATCCAAAGTATTTAGGTGGATTTGATGCGATCCAATCATCAAATGAATGTTGGATTTTGTCATCCCATCGACAATCCAATCCAGTTAACATTAGATATTCGATCCAATCCAATCAACATTTGACATTCGGATTCAATCCAATCCAGTCTAATGGATGATTGGTTCAGATCGGTTCTATCTATTGGATGTTATTATTAGTTATCTATTGGATCTACTAGTATTTTGATACAATTTTCAACAATTAGTCCACCATTTCAACCAATTATTCATATATTTTCTTAATTTATCAAAAACACTATATATAACTATCAACTAAAATACAATATTATAACTATATATAAATATCAACTAAAATACAATATTATAAAACGTTAATAATTATATATAATTATTAATTGGATGGTAGTTGAATGATAATTAGCACTACTAAAAAATCTAGTTTTTCCGACGGCAAAATTCATCGGAAATCCATCGGAAAAACAACTTTCCGACGAATTTCCGACTGATTTTGCCATCGGAAATTTAAAAGAAAAAATGTTTTTTTATTTTTTTCCTAACAAATATATATATATATATATATATCTAAAAAGATTTAAAATTTCCAACGGATTTCCGACCGAATTTAATTTTTTTTAAATAAAAATTAAATTCCGTCGGAAAATCCGTCGGAAAATTTAAAAGAAAAATGATTTTTTTTATTTTTTTCCTAACAAGTTATATATATATATATATATATATATATATATATAAAGGTTTAAAATTTCCGATGGATTTTCGACGAAATTTACTTTTTTTAAATAAAAATTAAATTCCGTCGGAAATCCGTCAGAAATTTTAAAAGAAAAAAATGTTTTTTTTGTTTTTTTCCTAACAAGATATATATAGAGAATAGATACATAAAGGTTTAAAATTTCCGACGGAATTTATATTTTTTTTAAATAAAAATTAAATTCCGTCGGAAATTTTAAAAGAAAAAAAATGTTTTTTTTTGTTTTTTTCCTAACAATATATATATATATATATATATATATATATATATGGGTTGGGTTCACGTGAGACCAGCTTGTTTTCGTGAGACCCGTGAGACCACATTTTTACACGTAACCTTCACAGCAAAAACACTGTGAAGGTTTAAAAAAAGTCGAACCTTCACAGCAAAAACACTGTGAAGGTTTTAAAAAGTCACCTTCACAGCATTTTGCTGTGAAGTTTCAAGTGTAAAATGTTGGTCTCACGGGTCTCACGAAAACAGGCTGGTCTCACATGATCCCAAGTCATATATATATATATATATATATATATATAGTATAGATATATATAAAGGTTTAATTAGCGTTAATCAAAAACATTTTCCGACGGATTTCCGACAGAATTTGATTTGTTTTTATTAAAAATTAAATTCCGTCGGAAAATGTTTTTGATTAACGCTAATTAATTTATTTAAATAAATTAGACAAATTTGGCGACGGATTTTTGACAGATTTGTGACGGTTTTGAATAAGTAACAAATCCGTCGGAAATCCGTCACAAATCCATTGAAAACCCGTTTTAAATAATTTTAATTTTTTTTTCCAAAAAATTCAGTGGGGGATTTGTGGCGGATATGAATAAAAGTTGATTTTTTTTTACTTTTTTGGGATCCGTCGGAAATATTTCCGACGGAAATTCCTCCAGAAAAATCCGTCGGTGATACCCTTTTTTTATTAGTGTAGATAGGTAATTAGATGGTTATTAGATTAGAATTGTTCGTTCTATTAGATTCTAAATTGTCATTTAAGAATCGATCGGTCCAATTTGGATGTTCAATGTTTAATTATATTTTGATTAAAAATATAGGGAAGTTATTTTTAATTAAAAATAATAATGTAAACACATATTTAATCAAATTATTTTTGATAAAATCTATCTGACAATGATTCGTGTTTCCATGTTTCCACCTTATATTTATGTAAGGGTTTTTCTAACTCCACCTCCTCCTATAGATGTGTGTGAGTGACCGTCTTCAAGGAAATTGGTAAAGGTACACATTTAGGTCATGTAATTTTTATCATCTTCACAAAAATATAACGATATATAGGTACCTTTATAACTACTCATGTTTGTCACAA